ATAGTTGTGATGTGGACTATTATCATTATAGTTGTGATGTGGCTATTTGTTTAAATCTAGAACGATTTGTAAAATAATATCTTTATCGTTAGCCTCCTTGGTGTGAACAGGCCCTTAATTAACAGAGATAAAATAATGGATATTTTATTATGATTCCTCTCTCTTCTGTAATCAGGTTTAGAACGGATGAGCCCGCACACATCAACATCATCAGAGATCCGATCAACCGATTCTTATCCAATTATTTCTTCCGGCGGTTCGGCGACTGGAGAGGGGAAGAGAATCACGTCGTACGAACCCCTGCGATGAAAGACGACGAAAGATACTTAGTAAGAGCTTTAAAAACAAATGTGTTTCTTAAGAAATAGTAGTCCAAGCGAGGTTAGAGAAAGAGAACTGAGTGAATGAGCATTGAATGAACTATTACTGTCATAAATGAAGTCTGTACAGCTCTGTGTGATACACATGAATGCCTCCTTCACAACTCAGCAGGCAGCGTTCATGAACATGGTTTACTCGGTCTATATTTAGTGTGAGACTGACTGTGCTGCTGGTTTTGCTGTCACTCATTAGTTTGACATGTGGTAATCGTTTACAGGCAGTGTATGCATACAGAATGACATCACCGGGGGAAACACAACTAGACTCTAAAGATACCAATGCAATCATATTCATTACATACAATGCGCATGGGTATGCATGATTTCTGTTCAAATAGTCATTTTCATTTGTTCATTTTTTTGCAACTTTCTCTGGAATGTTCTGGATTTGTTTGCATAGCAGCAGGAAATAGCCAGGCGTGGGTCTTTGGTTGGAGACTTAGATGAATGACCCCATAGTTCAGACCCCTTGTGGATGAATATATAAACAAACGACTGTTCTCAGAGCTTCAGTTCCAGTTCAACAACAAAATCAGTTTATTGGCACTGATGTAACTAACTGAAATGTTCATGGTGGCTCTTTGACAGATTGCTTTTGTTCTTCTTTTGTAAGTTGCTTTGAATAAAAGTGTCTGTTAAATGCATAAATGTTCTTCTGGACCAAAGGACATCAGCACATGCATCTTGGAAAGCTACCCAGAATGCTCCAATCCCCGGCTCTTCTACATTATCCCATATTTCTGTGGGCAGCATCCTCAGTGCAGGTGACATTTATATCCGGACATTACTGCTACTGTACGGTTCCAGGATTTTTTTTTATCAACTCTGCATCAATAGATGTCCATGAGTGATCACTGAAACTGATCAATAATCTGTAATGACCTAGAGAGCCGGGTTTGTGGGCGCTGGAAACGGCCAAGCAGAACGTTCTGGATCATTACCTGCTGGTAGGGGTGTTGGAGGAACTTCAGGATGTGTTGCTTCTGCTGGAGAGACTCCTTCCACACTTCTTCTCTGACGTCTTGAACATCTACAAAAGTCCAGGTAAGACCTTTCATAATGATTTGACTGGTTACCATTTAAAAAACAAATTGCCACCATTTTAATAACCTTTTTGCACCTTTTAATTAATTTAATTATTTAATGCATGGCAGTATCAGGAATGTTAATAAAAAGTACAAATAAAAAAAAATTATACTAATTAATACAAAAATTACTTAAACATTTTAATTAATATAATTCATATATAATTTTATATAAATTATATAATTGTATAAAAATAAATAATAAGTGAAATTACTTAAAAATACAAAAAGTGTTTCAAAAGATGTTGTATTTTTAAAAAAATAATTCAACTTAATATTAAAAAATATAATTATATATCTCAGAGGTGTAGTTAAATACAGACCTCCAAGACCAATCACAGCAAAATCCAGTGAGTTAATGAGATAATTAAGTGATTTATCAAGTGATGATTGAACATTAGTGATGAACACCTGCTGTTAACAAGCAGAATCACTGAAGGAAAGAGAAACAACAAGAACAGAACAAAGAGAAGAGACGATCAGAAACACAAGAACTATAACTGACTTCCAGCCACAGCCTTATGCCGGGTACACACTGTACGATTTTGGGCTGTCCCAGAAGAAAGATGACCAATCGTGAGTTCGAAGATGATCTCACCATCAGAGTCCATCTGGGAAGCTACAGTTTTATGCACTTGTGTAAAAATGCTGTGATGTGAGGATGCTTTTAAAAATAATGTCATAAATAGATTTTATCAATTAACCTGTTAACTGTCACCCCCCTTTTTTTGAATAGACATGAAAATGCACATTTCGAACATAAATGGTTGTAATTCAAGAATGCTTTGGAATATAGACGTAAGATTGGTCTTGTTTTAAAGAAGACATTTGGCAGATTTATGTAGAAGTGAAATAAATTAAGAAAGTGAAACAGAAAAAAAGTTATAGAAGTTTGAGTTTATGGAAATGTACAATGTAAAAAAAATTATTATTCATATTTTATATAAAATCTATATTTTCAAAACCTGGGCTACTCTAAAACTGCAGAAAAATCAAAGCCAAAAATCTGAACAAGTTGTGTTTCAAATTTTAGGTTGATATCTCAAAAAATGAGCTTTCAGTAAGATTTTGTTTGGGCGCAGTACCAAACTTTTTCACTAGGTAACAACCAGACTCCATTACTGCCCATATAAGGGCGCCTCCATTTCCATATGTGTTTTGAGTGATATGAACCATTATTTCCACAATTTTCATACAATTTATGAAGTAGAGATCCTATTCAGAAGTAGTATGGGAAGTTTGGCAGATTTTGATATGAATTCAACCTCTAAGAAACACATACAAAGAACACGCATGTGCGTCATAGCTCGCTGCCACATCACAAATGGTGAATTTATTATTTTTTTCTTTATATTTAAAACATTTTCAGACTTTTTTTTTCTAAAATAATTGAATGGATGCTATCTTTTGAACTCTTGGTATGAAAACAAACTAGGTTTCTACAATTTTTTTCATGATTTTTCATGTTCATTGCTATTTCAAAATAAAGGTCTGAACCTGCCTAGGAGTATGAAAATATTCTTGTTGCAAATTGATACATTACGGCTCCTCCGTAATTTATTTTGAAAATCAATCACCAAATATGGAAACTAGAGATTGTAAGCTTTCAAATGATATATAGTTTGTAAATATTACTCAAGGTTTTCACTAAGATATTATTGTTTTAAAAATATAATGGTAAACGTCCCACCTGTGGGACGGTGACAGTTAAGTTAACTAACTAAATCAAATCAATATTTGGTGTGACCACCCTTTGCGTTTAAAACAGCAAAATATATAAAGAACTGTCTGAAAACCATTTTGTTTTGAGTGAAAATACTAATGCCTGCCTAAGACTTTTGCACATTAGTGTATATCAGCAAGTGTAGTCCGCTATATTATTTTATTCAAGTTTTAAAAAACTGCATGTATTTTCAATGTACAGTAGACTTTTTCTTAAAGGGGTCATGAACTGGCTATTTAAACATTTTTATATCGTTGTCTGAGGTCAACTTATGACGTTCGCTTGGTTTTTACATTCAAAAACATCAAAATGAGTAAGTAATAGGCTATTTTCTACCCTAGTTTTGAGCCTAGCTCAAAAACGCTCGGTTTTTATGGGCGTCTTGCATTGAAGACTTGGAAGTAAACGCCCACTGCTGTGAGTGGATAACAGTTTTGCATATTATAATGAGTTTCAACTCACTCGTCGGTGCACGTGGGCGAAATTGTTTTGAAAACTTCCAATGTTGTAAAATGGCAACCGGAATGATTCGCCCATACATGTTCGACCCAGAGTCCGATCCTGAATCGCAGGACAATGAACTAACAACACCTCAAATACATAATGCGCGAATCGGTGGGCGGGGCTAAACCGGCCGTGTTGAAGTAGGCGTTGATCTTCTTCTGCGGGGGTGGTGTTTTATCCTCTTTGTCGTCATAGTTCCCCACTTTGAAAAACGAGTCGTTTGCTGAGTCTGGTGTCAATAAAAGCTTTTATTGGACTAACAAGTACGTTTTCAGTTCTGAAACTTACAGGATATTCTTATAACATGATGACCTCTTAGATGTCAAAAGCTCAAGGAAAATGTGATTTCTCAGTTCATCACCCCCTTAAGCTTGATTAAAAATAATTCATGTGGCTCCGTGTCTGTCTCTACTCGGTTCAGAATACAGGAAGCTGGGGAACATGACGGGCACCGTCCACAAACAGACTCCTAATCTAGAGGCCCTGCAGGTGCTTTATCAGCGCATGGAGTACGAGTACAAATTCTACAACTTTGTCAAAGCTGAGTTCCACCTCACCAAGAGGAAGATTGGTCTGAGAACAGGCCCACAACCCTCCAGACATTATTCTAGTGTGCTTCAAAGGAAGGACCTACAGGGGGAACTGGAGGAAGAGGAAACAGAAGACTCACTCAACTGGACCGTACAGACCTGAGATCAGATATAATCTGAAATAATCAATCATTCAGGTGGCCCTATTGAACCATACAACTGGATAAAGCTTGAAAATGATCTGCAAAAAAAACAATTACACTAAATGTTGTCATCAGTATTCTTAGATTGTTGAATATTTAACACATTTTAATAGTTTGTTCCTTTTTATGATTCTTTGAACCATTTTAAAACATATCGGTCACATTGCAACTGTAGTTTCCCTTAATAGTAAAATGAATGAATTTAGAGATCATTTGATATGCTTTTGAAGAGTACTTGTGTTTTGTGGGAAATAAGACACTTGACAGCATTAATGGTAAGACAAAATTCTTCATAAAAATATTTAGCGTCACACTGACAATTTGTTCATGTATAGTTAAAGTAGTTAAAGGTGAAGTTTGAATAGCACAAATAAAGACGATTTAAACACTCACTTATAAAATTTAAAACTGGCATATCAAAAATAAATTTCAACATCGAACAATTTACACATTTTATCTTCAAGATTAAATGCATTTGACCTCCTTATTGAAATCATCCAACAAACTGATGACATGTAGAAATGATCAAACGAAATGAGTAATACAGAAATGAATCATTATGAAAAATATTTTTCATGATTTATCTATTATTAACATGAAAGTGCTATTTCTTGTGCACAAATGTAAAGATATCAGTATGAAAATCATATCACACATGGATATCAGTATCAGTATGAAGTCTTAAACTTCAATATAAGTGCTAGACACATGAGATTCACAGTCTGGCTAGAGGTGGTTTTTCGTACAGACTCTGTCTCAGCAGATCGAGCGCGTCCAGTGCCGTCCCCCAGCTCAGAGTAACACCACAGCCTCCGTGACCGTAGTTGTGCACCAGAGGCACCTGACGGCCCCGTACAGACAGATATTCGCGCTCCACCCGCAGGTTAGCCCTGCCTGGCCGCAGTCCCACCCACTCCCCCATCACCTGACCCGCTCGCAGGGACGGTTCCAGTCGACTGCAGCGCTCCAGGATCCCCTCGCTGTCCTCTTTATCCACCTCCATACGCCAGTCGCCCACCTGCCGCGTGCCTCCAATGCTGACGTGCGTCATTCCAGGGTAGATGTAGGTCATGCCATCTCCATCTCTTATGAAGTTCTTCAGCCAAGGAGCGTTAATCTTCAACATTTGTCCTCGAACTGGATAGACCTCCTCATCCTTCGCCAAGAAACGTGAGCCGACACCTGAGCAGTTAATGATGGCATCGTAATTCAGGGCCAGTTTATGAAGATCAGTCACCTTTTCATGAAGGATCTGACCTCCAGCTGCTCTAACCCTATTGGGAAATATAGATGAACATTACCGATATATTCAGCATATGCTTACTATTCACCCTGTAGTCTTTATATTTGTTTTATAAATGGACCCTTTTCATTTCTGGGATTCTCAGATGCAGAAGTCATCATAGTTGGGTAAACTTCTATAATTTTCGATATAATCTTCTACGGTGTATAATTTTTGCGTTTCCAAGAAAAAATACATGACAGCTTTTCTATGACTTTCCAAAACAGGCGAAAAATAGTGACAGAAAAGAGAAAGATGTGAAATTTTCCATCACTCCCTCAGCCATATTAGAAACACTCACACAGCAGCGTTAAAGGCCCACTGAAGTGCCTTGAAACGTGCAGCATTATTCAATGCAATTCATATTTACACTGTCTGAATCAATCCCTATACCCTAAATAGTGCACTATGTGCCATGTAGAAAATAGTAAATGTGTGAACAAATGACCAATTTTAGCAGCAACTATTTATAATGCAGGGGGGCGGGACACTTTAGACTCTAGAGAGCATTTGATTGGACAGAAAATCTGATGAAATTTTTAAAAAATGTCTGTAATTTAATGCAAATGTCTAGTATAATTTAAAAAATATATATTAAAACATAGATTTACAATGTTAATAAGAGAACTTTTACAGTCTGTGAAAAGGGTCCAATATGTGAATTATTTTTTAAAACAATAAAATACATCTTTTATATTTGTATAACTATATATTATAGGATTTTTATTTTGAAACTTTTTAGTACCTTTTTTCCATCCATGGCAAGTAGCTCAGACATTCACACTTTAATGTGGTGAACGCTTGTCCAAACTTATGATTAGGGAAACGCTTCATTTCATGATCCGTCATGTATCTGAATCCAAGTACCAAATCTGCCCAGTAGGGCTTTTTGTCGCAGGGTACATCCTTGAAAATGTGGTACCTATGAGGATGCAATGTTGAGATTATGATAAATGAAAACCACATCAATACATTCTCTTTTCAGTGTGATCACTAGGGTTTTACCCGGAGCTCAAGTACACGCCAGCATCTCCGGCTTGTGAGGAATCTGCGATGGTCAGAAGATGATCAAATGACTCCTTGAACCAACGCCGTTGCCGTTCACGAGGGATGTCTAGTAAAAGAGTTCAATAATAATCAATTTGACCATTTTTACATAGACGGGCCTAAAAAAAACAAAAAAAAAGGCTATAATCCAAAACACATGATACAATGGCAAATTTGCTGCATCTGTCAGTGTTCATCTCACCAGGAAACTCAGTGGGTAGGAAGATTCCAGCGGCTCCATCACTGGTGGTGTCAGGCGAGAACTTCTCAGCAACAACAGTTACAGAACAGTGTGGAAGCGCCTCAGCGATACACACTGCCGTGGATAAACCCACCACACCTGCTCCGACCACCAGCACTTTCACACGCTGCATTCTCAGCTCAACTACAAGATCCAGAAGAGATGCTTTGCACCTCTGCACGTACTGATCTATGATTTACTGCAATTATTTCCATTAATAAATCAGCATATAGGCCGGGTTTCACAGACAGGGCTTAGATTGAGCCAGGATTAGGCCTTAGTTCAATTAGGACATGTAAGTAGCTTTTATAAACATGCCTTAAAAAAACATTACTGGTGTGTATCTTAAGACAAAATTAAAGATTAATTTAATTAATTAAAGATATGTCAGTGCAAGATGCTTTTAGTTAGAACAGCTCAAACGTGCATTTTAGTCTGGGACTAGGCTTAAACTTTGTTTGTGAAACTGGGGATAATGTAATTAATTTGATTAAAAATTAATTGATTCACAGCAGAACTCAATATACAATTTATTCACTTTAATACAATTACAATACCTTATGAACTCCCTGGTCAGAACATCAATAAATATTTATTATATTTAACATTTAAAATGCTATTTGTTTGAGGTTTACAACGTTTAAAAACATTTAATAGCAGCCATCAAAATATAATATTTTAGATCAATTGTTGCTGAAGAAGCTTGCTGATTTTATTACCCTTCACAATGTAGTTTTTCATGTTTTTTTAAAAGCCAACAAAAATGGAACACTGTTCATTGTTTGTTCATGTTAGTTCACAGTGCATTAACTAATGTTAACAAGATTTTAATTAAGTATTAGTAAATGTTGAAATTAACATTAACAACGATTAATAAATGCTGTATAAGTGCAGTTCATTATTAGTTCATGCTAACTAATGTAGTTATAACTAATGTTAACTAACTAACCTTATTGTAAATTGTTACCAAAAAATATAGCCTATTCCCTTTCATAAAATAGAGACATTTACAACCATGCAAGACAACCATAAAATCTGATTTTGTGCCAACAAAGTCAATAAACGACAGACTGGTGTCCTACTTACGTGACTATTATAGTCTAAACAAATTACCCAACAAATCAATTTTTTTAAACCATAAGTATCCAATATAATAATAATAATAATAATAATAATAAACGTGGGCCTACTTTTCATACAGCAACCATAGCTTAAACATATTTATAAATAAGGCACAGCTGCCATAGCAGTAATAAGAAGCTGCACTAATAAAGTTCAATACAGATTTAGAAGGTTACATTTAACAATTTAAAACGAACAAGTAGCCTACTATTCCAGTTACAGTATTTAAAATACATAATAGCATAAAGCAGGTGTACATATTTCGATCACACTTACCTCCAGCCTTCTGATCCTGCGGTAACAAACAGTCTGTGATTATTACACACTCTGGACGAGACCATGGTTGTCCTATTTAAAACGCATCGTGGGAAATGGAGTTTTAGTTGTCTTATTTTGAGGGGATGCGGAAGCACAGATGCGAATATTTAACATAGTTAGAGAGTACAACAACTGGTGTTGACTGCTAACGGAACAACATTATATACAGTTAATCTTTCAGTCCAATCTTTTTAATTCCTTCAGTTATAAATAAAAGGGCTCTTTTTGTTCGTGTGTGTAATGCTTCGCCATCAGAACAGAGGCGCTGTTTGCAAACACAACACTGGGTGACAAATGTTTCTGTTCCTCCAGGGGGCGCATCGAGGCCCACAGACGAACCTGCCTTCAAATCCCAGGACGGAACATCTTTTATGGCAGCAATCTATGGTAGCAGATCTTGAGCTTTTATAAATGGTCACAATTCTAGCAATGCTGCCTTTCTACCCAATAATGTTCTTTTCAATCTACCTACATCTGTGATGGATACTGAAATCACGGAACGTAGGCTAATTCTCGCGAGATATGGCTGTCCTGAAACGGTTCCTTTAAGGTAAGGTCCTGAAAGCTTAATCGTACAATATAGTCTTCAGAGACTAGTATAGTTATTATTTCAAGTGCGTTTCGCAGAATACACATTGTGATTGACTGATCCGCGCCAGCCTTTTAGCCTTATATGAGCGTGTTTTAGAAGGGGGAACAAAGGAGCTCTTTGTTGCTAACTTACACATGGCGCTGGTTTTAAAGCAGTTTGTTCTTTTATTACTGTGATCAAAGACCTTTGACATAGATATGAAGATTCACAGTGCGCGCACGTGTGTGTGTGTGTGTGTGTGTGTAACCCTTTTGCATGAAACGCAATGTGAGATTCTACATCATACTTGTGTTTACAGTTCAGACCGCGTGCAGTGCATGCATGATTCATTGACAGACATCGCTGAGTCTGTAACTACTAATGTGTCAAAAAAATACAATGCTTTCATACAGTTTTGGGCGTAAAGATGGAAATGCCATTGTCCTTTAATATAGACTTTGGTTTTGAATGATTACCAGGATTTACATGGTTCTACAAAGAATGCACCACCATGATTTACTATGGTATGGTTCTCAACTAGTTGGTAACAACGGTCTCACACAACCCCAAAATGTTGGTCTGATGGGTGAAAATATACTTAATTTTAGCTAACTTTTTTATTAAGGAGTACTTATTACGCAAATAATAGTCCTAAAAGAATATACTGCAAAGTGCAAATGTCATAATGTTTTTGGACTTGGGCTTTTTCAATATATTATGAATATTAAAAGCATCTGCTAAATGCATAAATGTAAATAAATAGGTCTTTAAAGGGAAGAAGAAAATGCTTCCCATATCTTTTATTTTAGGTCAGACTGTGTGTCCAAGTCAAATTAGAAAGATGCCAACGTGGACAGGTTGTTTGACATGCCCTCATCTTCAAAAACCATGAACAAGACTATTCAAAGAAAAACACAGACTCTTCATTAAATATGGGTTTGGTATTGTGTTGTTCACCACCTGATGCCCATTTAAAACCACTGCTATTGCAAACGTAAAAGATGTGTTAAAACCTTTTCCTTTTTAGATTCAAGCTCACAGGACCATGTCTGCGCCGTCTCTCCCGCCAGCGTCACCTGTCCTCGCCCTGCATTCAAAAACACACAAGGACACTATCCTGCATAAATTTGACAAACTCAGAAGAAGGGAACAGCTCTGTGACACAACCCTTATCGTAGAAGACGTGCACTTCAAGGCGCACAAGGCTCTATTAGCAGCGAGCAGTGAATATTTCTCAGTGATGTTCACTGCTGAAGATCAGGTAAGCCAGTCGGTGTACAAGCTGGACGGCATGTCTGCGAAAACCTTCTCGGCCGTGCTTGAGTTCATCTACAGCGCAAATGTGTCGGTGGACCAGAGTAGCTCTGAGCAGCTGTTTGACATGGCCCGCTTTCTGGACATCCCAGATCTGCTCAAAGCCCACAAGGTCCTTCAAAAGGACAGTTCAACGGTTGAAAATGTGGTGTCCGCTGAGGGTGAAGGTGTTGATGAATGCGTACAGATCAAGCGTAAAAGAGGGCGCCCCAAAAAGAGCATGTACACTCAGGAGTCAAGCCAGACAGAGAATCCAGAATGCGTTTTACCAACACAGACTAAAGAGCCCACAGAACCTCTCTTAGATCCCACTTCACCTCCGAGAGACTTAAGTGACAGCGACTACAACCCCAGAGAGGAGGACAGACCCCGTCACAGCAAGCGCAAAATACGGCAGCCTGTCAAACTGAAGGGATACAGGTTAGGAGACAATCTGACTGAGCGCAAGGAGCCGGGGAAGAGAGGGCGAAAGAGGAAGTACCCGGACACAGAGGCCAGATGTGACGAGTGTGGGAAGGTTTATAAAAACCATCTGTTACTGAAGATACATCAACGAACTCATACAGGTGCACCTCATTTTTTTTATTATACTAAATAACTGACTAAATAGTAACAAATAGAAATGCAGAGCCGGACAGTAACGGAGTACATTTCCGTCCTTCGGATGAGACTTTAAACCGAGGTCCTGACTCTCTGTGGTCACAAAAAAATCCCAGGTCTTTTGAAAGAGTAGGGCTGTAACCCCGGCATCCTGGCCCAATTTGCCCAGTGGCCTCTGTCCATCATGGCCTCCTAATCATCCCCATATATATATACCAATTGGCTTCATCACCCTGTCTCCTCTCCACCAGTAAGCTGGTGTGTGGTGGGGGTTCTGGCACAATATGGCTGCCGTCGCATCATCCAGGTGGATGCTGCACATTGGTGGTGGTTGAGGAGATTCCCCCATAGCGCTTTGAGTGCCGAGAAAAGCGCTATATAAATGTAATGAATTATTATTATTACATTTACTTGAGTACAGTACTTAAGTACAATTTTGAGGGATCTGTACTTTACTCGAGTATCATTTTTGGGGAGTACTCATGACTTTACTCAAGTACATTTGAGAGGCAAATATTGTACTCTTTACTCCACTACATTTCTATCCATAACCGTGAGTACCCGTTACTACTTCGAGAAAAAAAAAGGAAAAAATATTATCGGAAACACTTTTTTTGTTACCCTCTCAAACGTGATTGGATTGTGCAGGCGCCACTGATTGGGACAGCCTATCAGAAATCACCTTCAGCTTTCCGCCAAAGTCAACTCCATGGTCAGATTTAGATAAGAGACGAAACCATGGACGAAACAATGGATGAAGACACAGTACGTCCATCCCGGAAATGTGCCAACCCGTGGCCCCACCTCGCCAGACTATTTAAATTTTCTGAATTTTCTTAAATTTTCTTAAATGTTAAATAAAACAACATGGTAAAAGGATGAAAATGACTTGATTTTACTTTCAATTCCTTGTACATTCTCCAAGCTATTAACATTAACATTTTTCATAACTACACGTAGGACGTTTCTGTACATAAATGTAAGCACTGTGGCATTAGTAATGCAATATTTAAAAAATGATACTCAAGTACTTTTCAAAACAAGTACTTCAGTACTTTACTTAAGTAGACATCAGACTGTAGTACTTTTACTTGAGTAAAATTTAGCAAGGGGTATCTGTACATTTACTCAAGTAATGAAGCTGTGTACTCTGTCCGCCTCTGTCGAAATGGCAAGCTAGCTCTGAAAGCATGAGATCCCACCCTCCCTTCAGAGCGTCTCCAAAGGCAATGCATTCTTCAAAACACAAACACATACAGCCTGAGCAAACAAAAACGTCATGAGAGACTGTGTTAAATTACCTCTGTCTCAAAGCCCATAATATTACAATAATAATGAACGTAAACAACTTAAAGAGCACTGACCTTTACCACCTGACTGCTGCAGAATCATTTCAGCGTTGATAGTGTTGCCATTGAAACTCATAAATTCAAGTCACAAACCGTTGCAAATTACAGTAGTTATGGCGTGAACGCAGCATAAGCCCATGGTTTTGGTTCAGGAGGAACTGTAAAAGGTGTCTGCTGTTTCGGTTGCGGTGCTCTGTGACTGACGTCTGTCTACGTGAAACACGCTGATGATGTGATGTCTGTGCGAGCAGGTACGTGGAGGTATGGAAATACATACGCTGACAGGCAGGTAGGACATCATGTGATTGGAAAAACATTTTATGGTCCACCGACGAAAAAAATACATTTAGACCACTTAAAGGGATAGTTTGGCCAAAAATGATATTTAACACATGCATTACTCACCCTCAAGCCGTTCGAGATGCATATGTCAATCTCAGACTGATCTCATGAAATGGCGTATGTATGACACGCCAATTCGTATTTCCATTTTTGGCGTGCTATTAACACGCATAATCGCTTTTCAGCGTGTTTATCAACGCCTTTGACTTAACGTTATATTACTGTATTATGTATATATGACCTACCCCAACCCCGTCCCTAAACCTACCCGTCACTGGGGTTAATACCATTTATGAGTCTTCTCCTACCATCCTAGGAAAAGAAATATCGCTCCACAGATGTAGATATAGATTTTGCTTCGTTTCGCTCGGACATTTAACGGCGTACACATACACGCGGAAACACTCGGACATTTAATGGCGTAGACATACACGCAAAAGATTTCGGCGTGGACATACACGCGGATAGCTCAAAATGCGTATAGATAGCACGCCACTTGAATTGAAAGTGGCGTGTATGTTTACGCAAAGTCATGATGTCATGTTGTCAATCTTGTTTCAGACGAACACATTTTCAGTTATTTTAGAAAATGTCTTAGACCCTTCAGTGGATATAATGTGAAGCAATGGGGTCCACCTCCTTCAAGTCCCAAAATGTGCATACATCCTTCACAAAAGTAATCCATCCGGCTCCAGGGGGATAAACGAAGGCCTTCTGAGGGTAATCCGTGCGGTTTTGTCGTAAAAATATACATATTTAAAACTTTATAAATGAAAATATCTGACTTCCGGCAACGATCGACGCGCGTTCACGGGTGATGGAAGTCGGCGTACGAGGTATGACGTAGCGTAGGAACCGTCGTGACGTAGACGTTGTTTTGCTCTGCTCTCTGGCTGCGCAGGCGCGTTCGTTCTACGTCACGACGGTTCCTACGCTACGTCATACCTTCCATCTTCCGTCATACCTTCCGACTTCCATCACCCGTGAACGCGCGTCGATCGTTGCCGGAAGTCAGATATTTTCATTTATAATAGTGTTATAACTTATTAAATAAATAAAAAATAAAATGCAAAAAACTTTGTTAGATTTACGATGTTAATAATTGTGGAAATGCGTCATCAGAGTCTGAAAAAACTTCGAAGAAGCGCGGTGGTGACGGTCACGTGTCCATTGGAAATCTCAATATAAAATGACTTCTTTTTATGCAGGTGAAAAACCGTTCAGATGCAGTGTTTGTGGGAAGGGTTTCACCCAGAAACACACTCTTTTGGTTCATCAGCGCATGCACACGGGAGAAAAGCCCTTCATCTGCACGATATGCTCCAAAGCGCTGTCCACCAAACACTCCCTACTGGAGCACATGAACCTACACGCAGGTGAGGGACTTCAACTACTACACACATCTACCAAATCACTGCGCCATGCTGCTTATACATGACAATTCAATATTGGGGATTAAGATTTAAATGCTTTTATCCAGCAAAGATTCATTCAATTAATCAAATTTGACAGTAAAGACATTGTTACAAAAGATTTACTTGATAATAAGAAATGTTTCTTCAGCAGTTGATTTCTGACGCTCATGTGGCACTTAAAGGGATAGTTCACCCAAAAATGAAAATTCTGACATTACTCACCCTCATGTCGTTCCAATCCCGTAAGACTTTTGGTCATCGTTGGAACACAAATGAAGATCTTTTTGATGAAATCTGAGAGCTTTTTGTCCCTCCATTGACAGCTACGCAACTACCACTTTCAAGCCCCAGAAAGATAGTAAAGACATCATTAAAGCAATCCATGTGACTCCAGTGTTTTATGAAGTGATGCGAGTGCTTCGTTTGTGAAAACAAAACACAATTTGCCACTTTATTTACAAAATAATCTCCAACGCGCGTTCATGAAAGCACCACGACCCATGCCTGTTGTGTTGACACGAGAGTAGGCGTTTTTGTGTGAACGCGCATTGGAGATTAATATTTTGTAAATAAAGTTAAATTATGTTAGCGACAGCACTCGCATCGCTTCATAAAATTGAGGTTAAACCACTGCAGTAACCATGGGTTACATTAATGCGGTCTTTACTATCTTTCTGGGGCTTGAAAGTGGTAGTTGCGTAGCTGTCAATGGAGGGACAGAAAGCGCTCAGATTTAATTAAAAAGATCTTAATTTGTGTTTCGAAGATGAAGGTCGGTCTTACGGATTTGGAACGACACGAGGGTAGGTTATTAAAAAAAAAAAATTGGTCATATCATGGTACAGTACATGACCAAAACACCATAGTACATATTCAAATAACTGATTATATACTGCCTGATGGTCTATAACATTCTCCATTTTCTTTCCACAGAGAATAAATCTTTCAGTTGTGACCAGTGTGGGAAAAGCTTCAGTCAGAAGCGGCAGCTGAAAAGCCATTACCGCGTTCACACAGGAAAAGCTTTACCTGAGTGTGCGCAATGTCATCATAAATTTATGGATGCAGCTCAACTGAAGAAGCACCTGAGAACTCATACTGGTAACAAACAGATCACACTTCATAGCAGTTTGCATATCTGTGCTGTATGAACACCTGTGTTATCATTTCAGGTGAGAAGCCGTTTACATGTGAGATCTGTGGGAAGTGTTTCACAGCCAAGAGCACACTGCAGACACACATCAGGATACACAGGTCAGAAATCAACATATTTACATAATAAGACACCGCCGGTAAATAGAGGAAACAAAATAAAACTGATAGATATCACCACACTTCCCTAGTTGACTGATTACATTAAGTTTTTTGAAATATTTTTGAAATATGGACTAATTTGCACATACATTTTCAGAACAGAAATCTGATCATTGGATAAAGTCTTGTCATTGTGTTGACAAGTATATAAAAAAAAAAAATGTATGACAGATTTTTGATCTCTTTATCACTCCCTAAATCAGAAAATACTGTCAACAGCCAGAAAAAGAATACATATTCACCATATCTTTAGGAATAAAATGTTATCCTCTGTAAAAACCTTCAGAATATCAATATAGACAGAAATAAAACTGTAAAGTTTGGTGTATGTAAAGCTGCTGAAGTGGAGATATTTGGCCTTTAAATATATGTATTGTAATTAAAATCTACAGTGTAATAAAATTGTATCCACCTTTTTCCAAAGTCCCATGACGCTTTGTGCGATTATGGGAGTAACTTCAGTTAAACTGTAAATAATTAGTAAAATGTTTGTTCTATAAACGCAGTAATAAGCATTTTCAAAATCTGGGTATAATAAGATGACATTTATTCTACTCACCCTTCAACCATTGAACATTAAAAGGAAATTTGAAAGTGAAAAGGCATTAACAAAGTTCTTTTAACAGACCACGAATAACCCCAAAAGCTTGATTATTTCTGCAGAAATATTACGGGCGTGTTAAATATCACTGTAGTGTATGTAATATATGTCTGTATTATGTAACTTACATCAAAAATGTTTATTAACTGGAACATTGAGTAAACACAATAAATTGTATTTACTTGCTTTAGAAATATCCCAGTAAACACTGTTAATATTGATTAGAAGTGAAAAGGGGAGACAATTATATTTTTAAGCATCTGTGTGAATACAAACCTGGAAAGAGACTCACTGGGGAGAAAAACAAGAGATTCCTAGTGCATTCCATTGAATTATTTATGGGATATATCGTAAATTAAATGAGGAGAACAGTCCACAAATGTGCAGTATATGTTGTCCTTTTTCATACTGTTGTTACAGCAGAATATAAATGAAAACAAGAAAATAATCAGTAGGAAAAAAGGCAGTGACTCAAGAGCTCTTGCCATAGATATTCTTGTTATGCCATATCACATTAAAATACCAAGCTATTATCTGTTATTATAAAAATTTGAGCTCATTCAGACAAACTGATGGATAAGGATCATCCTTTGAAAGGATTTGTTTCAGTCTTTTTGAGTGGAACTTCCCCAAATCAGAAGTGCCTCTCATAATCTAAACTGCAATAGGCTCGTAAGTAAAAAAAGGTTGATATAAATCAGACAAATTATATATATAAACAAACAGCTCTGTAAAAACCTTAAGTATATAGATAGGAATAAACCTGTAAAGTTTAGTGTATGTAAAGCTGCTTAAGTGGATTTCTGAAAAATATTTTGATGGAACGGCCTTCAAAGATATGTATTGTAATAGAAATCTGCAGATGTAAATAGATAAAGTGCAATAAAATGAACAATTAAAGTGATTTGTGGATGTTTTCTTTCCACTAGTCTGGAACAACATCTTATAAAAAGCCCAAAATCTCAAAACTGACCGGTGCATGAAAAAACAATGTTTTTGCCTGTAGTGTCTTGCCTTTTAAAGGAGCTGTATGTAAGCTTGTGGCCAAAACTGGTACTGCAATCACTTTCAAATTACTGTAGAGCGGTGTATCTCCTCCCCCTCCTCCCTGACTCGAGGTTGCCAGATCCAGCAGGAACGTAGGCTGCTACAAGGAGCTTTCAACCAGAGCAGAGCTGGCAACCCGGATGCTGAAACATTACTGACTTCGTGATTGGTAGATAGGTGGAGGGTGGGGCTTCAGGCCAAAACACAAGATGACAACATCAACATCAGTTGAGGGCTGCAACTTCACTTTTTAAATGACAATATCCTGGCCAGACTACTGTTGTCAGTGATATAAGTATTTGAAATGAACATGATTTCTTAATGTCTAGAGACACATCAGGGCCATTTTATGATTAATTGAAATACATTTCTTACATACAGCTCCTTTAATGTTCAAGATTATCATGTTAAAAAAAAAATCTTTCTTGTCATCCAGAGGAGAGAAGCCATACGTCTGCAATGTCTGCGATAAGACCTTCTCGGACCCCAGTGCCAGGAGGCGTCACGTGGCGTCTCACACGGGTAAAAAGCCCTTCACTTGTTCTGTCTGCAACCTGTCGTTTGCCCGATTGGACAACCTTAAAGCTCACACCAAGACTCACAACAAAGAGCGTCAACCAGGAGACGCTGAGAGCACGGGCCCTGCGGAGGTGCAGGCCACATCAGGGGCCGAAGAAATGCACAACATCCTCCAACTCCAGCCGTACCAACTTCCCACCCACGGCGAGCAGGAAATCCAGCTGGTGGTGACCAGCGAGGTGGAAAACATCAACCTGGGTCAGGATCAAGCTATCAGCATCATCACTGCAGAAGACGCTTCTGTGGAACCGGGTCTCACGCTTCTCACCCAACCTCCTGGTCACGTCCAAAACCTGGCACTGGTCGCACCGGACGGGTTAGACGGCAGCCCTCAAATCCAAACCATCAGCGTCTTGGGAAGTCAAGTGAGCAGCGGGCAGCCGGAGCAGATGCACGTCTTCACGCTGACAAAAGAAGCCATGGAGCAACTGCAGGTTCATCACGGAGCTCCACAGCAGCTGCAGGTGATCCACCAGCTGTCCGAAACCTCGGAGAATCCCAGCCGGCCGAGTCCAACGGGAGGCATTCACATCAGCAGTCAGAGCGGGCAGCCCATCTCCATCAGCCAGACCAGCGAGCAGATCCCCAGCCATCAGATCCAGGGTCAAACCTTCCAGATCCAGGCGGGAACGGTCTCGTACCTCTACACCACCAGTGTGACCCCGCAAAACTGAACCGACACAACCGTTTAAACCCTTTAGGACTCGCTCACAGTGCTGATGCTTGTTCTCTTTGGATGTAAATGGTTATATTTTAATACAGTAAAGCTGATTGAGAATAAGCAAAACATCTTTTTTTTAGATAATGGCTGCAATATGGATCATGAAGTATAACCATTATTAAACTGTTTTTTTGTATTTGTTAATGACAAGACTAAAGATAATAAATGGTTCACATACATACAACTTTAAATGTATTTGTCCAAAATCAATTTATTTAAGTGTAATTGTCCTGCATGACAGTAAGATTGGCTCAGAGGCATGAGTTTTTTTAACCAATGCTCATTGCCATAATGCAAAAACATTCACTGTAACTTCTGTAATGCAAAAAAGTCATATAAATGATAATTTCATATTCTTTACTGTAATGCAATAAAACATATTGCATATATAATCATTTTTATTTATAAAATTACAGAAAAAATCATGTAAATGTGTTGACATCATTAATTTTTAATTTGATGTTTTTGTCATTTTTATTATTTTTAAAATGTCTATTTAGTTTCGATACATTTCTATGTCAGTTTTAATTATTTTTGTACTAAAGTTAATGAAATGAAATTGAAATGTGTCATGAAAATTATAAAAACAATCTCCATGGTATGTGGATGTAAAAATGGGTATATGGCTAAAAAAAATGTATATGGATTTTGTGGTGGAATGTGAGATTCACCCAATAATGGTTAAACATTACGTTTTGATTAATGCACAGTTTTAATTACAAATAATCAGACCTGTCAGGGCCATTTAGGTTAGACTGAAGCTGAACACAAGTAAAAGTGGAAGACGTGTTCAGATCCAACTTACAACTACCTCCATTCTCTCCACTAATATCCTGTCTTCTCTCTACAATCTCTATCAATAAAAGTCTCAAAAGGTGCCAGTTTGTGTGGTTTCAGATGATTTACTTGTGACCCATTCTAAGATTATGGTATGACTGGTGGTTAGAAGATGCGATTCCATCAGGAAGACTGGGTAACAGCGCCTCTGAAATGTCCAGACGAAGACGACTGGAATTCTGTGAATTAGAACAATAGAATGTAAAAAAACAAAACAATTAAATTCATTCCACATAATGTCTCGGTTACATATAACCTGAGTAGGGAACGGAGACGTTACGTCGAAATGACGACGAAATGGGGGTTTCGCTTAGAAGCCTATCACCTTCGAGTGTTAAAAAAAACGAGCCAATGGCAGAGAAATGCCATGGGTCTGTGGAATTTGCATAGCGTAACTCCGCCCCACCTCGTGGGTATATAAGGAAAAACGCTGGCAGAATGCAGACCTGTTTCCCTGCTGAGGAGCCAAGACTGAGCTTGGCGTTCCAGCGGAACAGCGGAAGTGGCAGGAAGACGTAACGTCTCTGTTCCCTACTCAGGGAACAAGGGTTACATGCGTAACCGAGACGTTCCCTTTCGCAGTCACTTCGAGTTACGTCGAAATGACGACGAAATGGGGGTACCAGTATAATCACGCCACCTCTCGGCTGTCTTCCAGTGCCCTGCGTAAGTGTGAGCTCCCTGTCGTGAGACTGGCACGGACGAAGGACTCCCACTTAACACAGGAATACCAAGGTACACTGGGGAGCACACCTCAGAGGAAATATGCAACCATGCCCGCCCGAAGGGAGGACTTAGGAATACATGTGTGGCCTGAGAGGGGGTAGCATACGGAAGAACACTGGAGTGTCCAGCCCGTAGGGTGGAATCTTTCAACTCCAGGAGTGGCAAGGTGGCTTGCCGAGGGAAAGACACATGCTCAAGGAGGCTTACAGTGGACCAGCCGGCCAGCGGTAAGGAGAGTTTCTCCCCCGGCCCTCCACCAGGGGAAGGAGTGGCCCTGCTACCACCTCCTTGGCAGAACTGTAGGCCATCTCTGAGCTGTCCGCATCAGGAAGCAGACTGGGGCGCCTTCCTGCGACCACCTCCGCGGCGCGGCCCGGTAAAGGCTGCTGCTGGGGCCGAGCGGGAGGGATGGAAGTCGCAGGGGGGCGCCGAACAGACTGAGTGAAATGAGCCGGCGGCTGGGTGGAGGCAGCAGCTGGCCGCCGGGGCAGTATGTGCTTAATAGCCTCAGTCTGTCTCTGGGCGGCCGAGAACTTTTGGGGCGAAGTCCTCGACCGCGCCGCCGAAAAGGCCTGCCTGTGACATAGGGGAGTCGAGGAGACGTGTCCGCTATGCAAATTCCACAGACCCATGGCATTTCTTTGCCATTGGCTCGTTTTTTAACACTCGAAGGTGATAGGCTTCTAAGCGAAACCCCCATTTCGTTGTCATTTCGACGTAACTCAAAGTGACTATGAAAAGGGAACTGATGTTCTTTGTTATATGATCAGAATTTTATTTAAAGGACAGTCAAGAGGGGTTAGAAAGAAGAGTTAATAAAGAAGAAATCATTTCACTTTTAGGCGAACTATTCCTGTAATGGTTGGCATGTTAAATGACTTTTACTACAGAATCAATTAACTCACTGTTTTGGGTCTCTCCAGAGGTGTCCAAGACTCTATCCAACCAGATACAGTGTTGAGGTCATCGGTTGTGTTTATAAAGCTACTGTTTGTAGACATAACTGAGTTGTTCCTGAGCAATCCTGCAATACAACAAGCCACAGAGATGAACACGTCATGTGTAGATGCAAAAAGATACAGAGAAAATGACTCGAGCAATATAATCAGACATCTACGTGCATATATATATATATATATAGTATAGTAGTGCTGTCTAATCGATTAATCGCATCTAACATAAAAGTTTGTGCTTATTTGTGTATGTATATATATATATATATAAAATATATATACTGTATATATACACAAATATATTTATATATATGTGTGTGTGTGTACATGTAAAGATATAATATATATATATATATATATATATATATATATGTAACGACAGACAAATCAGACACAATTATTTGTTATATTTAACAAATAATTTTTAAAACTCACTCTGGGATCCATGGTCCCATCCCCCCCAACAAGGGCAAGAAGGGTCTTGATTACCATGACTACGATCAGATAAGTTGGTTTTATTGCTGTTAAAAATGTGGTCACGTGGAAAAAGCAGAGGCCATAGAAAAGACCCACAGCCCTTAAAGCTGCTGTAGGTAACTTTTGAAAAAATGTATTTGCTAAAACTGTCATTATGTCCTGACAGTAGAATATGAGACAAATAATCTGTGTAAAAATCAAGCTCCTCTGGCTCCTCCCCAGTGGTCCTATTGCCATTTGCAAGAAATACACGCTCCCGGTCAGAAACAACCAATCAGAGCCAGGAGGAATGTCTTAGCAGTGTCAATCACGCTCGTGTACGCGCTGACCACACCCCTCTCTTGCACAGCGCGAGCCGTCGTTTAAACTCAAGATTGCCGGCGTGCTGCAGCTGTGCTTATGACGGAGAAACAACCTAAACTGCCAATTCTCGAGTGACACCTGCTCATAAAACAAAGAGGTAAAAGGAAAAAGACTGATGACGATAAACAAGCGAAAAAGAAAGAATTACACAGAGCCCATTGATCGGTGTCAAAACTCTAGCCGCATAACATGTAGATAAAATGTCACGCACTCTGCTAAGCAACAATTGAAACCTGCTAATTCACTGGCTTGTCATGTTGCTGAAATAATGTACTAGCACACCTTATCTAGCATTATATATCGCTAGAATAATTACTTACATACTGTAACGTTAGTTACCGTTATATTAACGTTATCTTACTAGCTATTTATAACTTATAGAAAGAGTGCAACGTTATAAAGTTACATGTAGGCTATTGCAAAATACATAATGATTTGAGGACCAAGTTTGTAGTCAAAGTATGGGCAGGCCATAGTCAATGTAAAGCATATTATTGACGTTTAGTCCCTATTAGTGAATGTGCCATATAACTTTTTATCCGCTGTTACCGGTGGCCCTGTTTACTAGCCTGCGCATTCACGACAGGCTCCGCTGTGGAGGGAGGGCTGTAGCGCAGCAGAGAGCAAGGGGGTGGGACCTGTAAGTTGTGCTTGTTCAAATTTTCAGGCTAAGTCAACGTTTTCTCAAAACTCCCTACTGCAGCTTTAAAACAGATTTTGCATGGAGTCGACCAACTTCTGGCACCTGTAAACAGGTATTCCAGCCCAGGACGATCGCACTACAGACCACAGTTCCTCTGCATTTCTTGGTTTTGCCTCAAAAACAGTATTTTTGATGTCACCCCACAGGTTTTCTATTGGATTAAGGTCCGGGGATTGAGCTGGCCACTCCATAACGTTAATCTTGGTGGTCTGGAACCAAGATGCTGCTCGCTTACTGGTGTGTTTTGGGTCGTTGTCTTGTTGAAACACCCATTTCAAGGGCATTTCCTCTTCAGCATAAGGCAACATGACCTCTTTAAGTATTTTGATGTACTCAAACTGATCCATGATCCGTGGTATACGATAAATAGGCCCAACACCATGGTATGAGAAACAATTCCCATATCATGATGCTTGTGCCACCATGCTTCACAGTCTTCACAGTGTACTGTGGCTTGAATTCAGTGTTTGGGGGTCGTCTGACAAACTGTCTGCGGCCCCTAGACCCAAAAAGAACAATCTTGCTTTTATCAGTCCACAAAATATTGCGCCATTTCTCTTTAGGCCAGTCAATGTGTTCTTTGGCAAATTGTATCCTCTTTAGCACATGTCGTTTTTTCAACAATGGGACTTTGCGGGGGCTTCTTGCTGATAGCTTGGCTTCACATAGGCGTCTTCTAATTGTTGCTGTACTCACGGGTAACTTTAGATCTTCTTTCATCACCCTGGAGCTGATCATTGGCTGAGTCTTTGCCATTTTGGCTATTCATCGATCCATTCGAACGGTAGTTTTCTGTTTTCTTCCACGTCTTTCTGGTTTTGGTTGGCATTTTAAAGCATTTGATACCATTTTAGCTGAGCAGCCTATCATTTTCTGCACTTCTTTAGAAGTTTTCCCCTCTCCTATCAACTTTTTAATCAAAGTACGCTGTTCTTCTGAACAATGTTTGGAACGGCCCATTTTATTAAGATCTTCGGAGAGAAATGCACTATAACCACCATGTACAGTCCAGTACTGCCTTCGTCCTTAAATAAGGGCCACTTATTGACACTAGTTTTTTCACAGAATGATTAACCTCACTAATTGAACTCCACACTGCTATTATTTTGAACACACCCCTTTCAATTAATGATTCGATTATACAGAGTTAGCAACATACATGTCATGATTGTTGGATCTGTTGTTTTT